GATGCTACCCCAGAACTTTAAAATCAGAATCTCTGGGGATGACTCAGGTGTTGGAATTTTTAGAAACTCCCAGGTGATTCCAATGTGCAGTCAGGAATGAGTGCCTCTGGTTTGAAGCAGAGAGACCTGGACAGGCCATAGTAATGGTAACCATGATAACATGTGGCACCATGTACATTGTAGGGCTTGGAGGCCACAGGGCTCAGCCCTGCCCATGGCCCAGCACCCCTGCCTCTCTCCTGAACCATGATGTGGCTTCCTCACTGCCATTTCCCCAAGCTGCACTGATCACGCCCTTTCTCAGACCTCACAAATACAGGACGCCTGGTAAAATTCAACTTTTGGATAATTCTTCAGTCTAAGTGTGCTCCAAATAGTGCAGGAATATACTTCTACTTAAAAAAACAGTTCAGGCTCGGCGCCTGTAGCTCAACCGGCTAAGGCGCCAGCCATGTACACCTAAGGTGGCGGGTTCGAATCCCCAGCCCGGACCTGCCAAACAACAATGACGGCTGCAACCAAAAAATAGCCGGGCGTTGTGGCGGGCGCCTGTGGTCCCAGCTACTTGGGAGGCGGAGGCAGGAGACTCGCTTGAGCCCAGGAGTTGGAGGTTGCTGTGAGCTGTAATGCCACGGCACTCTACCCAGGGGGACAGCTTGAGGCTCTGTCTCAAAAAATAAAAAAATAAATAAAAAAAATAAAAAAACAGTTCATTTTTTGAAATCAAATGTCACTGGGAGTCCTGTACTTTTATTTGCTAAATGGCAACCCTACTCACAAAGTACATTTCCTGAGTCTACTCTGTTGGTCACATGGATTTGATTATAGCCCCCTGAGGGGAGGACACCCCAGAACGGGGAGGAGGCTGGGCGTTCTGAAATACCTCAGGATCATCTCAACACGGCTGGACTAGAAATGAATACATGTTGAAATTTTGGATGTTTCTTTTAATTTCACTTTAGGGAGTGCCCCTATCTTTGTACTCATCACCCTTTAGGCCCCCTACCCCTCTCACTTTCCTGGTCGGTGGTGTGTTGACCAGGGAAAAGTTCACAGCATAGGCCCGGCACAGTGGCTCATGCCTGTAATCCTAGCACTCTGGGAGGCCGAGGCAGGTGAATTGCTTGAGCTCACAAATTCAAGATGAGCCTGAGCAAGAGTGAGACACCATCTCTAAAAATAGCTGAGCTTTGTATCAGGAGTCTGTAGTTCTAGCTACTTGGGAGACTGAAGCAAAAGGATTGCTTGAGTCCAAGAGTTTGAGGTTGCTGTGAGCTATTATGCCACAGCACTCTACCGAGGGTGACTAAGTGAGACTCTGTCTCCAAAAAAAAAAAAAAGTTCCTAGCATCCTCCTCCCCTCCCGTCCCCTGTAGGGGGTTGAACCCCCAGCTTAAGCAAGTTTAATATACTGCTTCATCTTGTTTTCTGAGGGTCCACGTGTCTAGAGGTGTTTTCAGAAAGAACAGAGACATGGCTAGGTCAATGAAGGTCCTACCTGTCTTATACAGCTCCAAGGGATTGTGATTGACCTTCAGTGGCTGCAGTGAAGCCACAGAGTCTGTGGGGGAACAGAGGTGGTCTTTTGGGGGGCACTGGAAGTTGAAGGTGGGGAAGCCCAGCTGAGATCCTGGACATGTTCCCCCCACCAGGCCCAATGGCCAAGCCTGAGGAGGACTTCTGATCAGTCCCAAGAGGTCTGTCCCCTGAAGGGGAAGAATGCGAAGCTGCCTGGGGCAGGCCAGTGAGGATGAGAAGCTGCCTGGACCGGTGAGGCAGCATGGGGTTGTGGTGCCTCAGACAGTAGAGCCCCTCCCTGGTGAGGTGAGGCCCTGGGTTGTGGTGGGCCTCAGACAATAGAGAAGGGCCACGGGAGAAGGGGACCTCACAGACAGGGGAAAGAGTGAGTGTGATGGTGGGCAGAGGAGCCCTGGGGACCTTGGGAGCCCTTGCTGTGTGAGGTGCAGGCACTGGCAGGGCAGGGAGGTGTGCAGTGGAGGGACAGGCAGGTGCTGGCAAGAGCTGAGAGGCTCAGGACTGGGAGTGAGATGGAGGGGAGGGGAGCCAGGGCAGTCTGGAGAGGGGAGACCTGGATCCAGAGAGAAAGCTGGCACCAGGTGCTGACAGGGCCCTGGGGCAGCCAAGGTCAATGGCAGTCAGTGAGCTTGTGATTGAGATGTTGGGTAGAGCAATCTCCTAAATATTTAGGTAAACTTGAACATATATACAGAAAAGTGCACGAATTGGCAGCTTAGAGAATTCCCTCTACCTTCTCAAAGTAAGCATTCAGTTTGAGAAGTGAATGTTACATCACCAGCACCCCAAAAACCCCGGGAGCCACTATCTTGATACTAACACGTAGGTCAGAATCCAATCCATGGACCCCCCCAGTACCACTCTCATTTTGGGCTTATTTCCTCCAGCATTGTGCTGGTGAGTCATCCCTGATGCCCCGTGTCACTGGGGTTAGTTTGTTCTCTCTCTCTCTTTTTTTTTTTTTTGGTAGAGACAGAGTCTCACTTTATCACTCTCCGTAGAGTGCTATGGCATCACAGCTCACAGCAACTTCCAACTTCTGGGCTTAGGCAATTCTCTTGCCTCAGCCTCCCAAGTAGCTGGGACTACAGGTGCCTGCCACAACGTTGTGGTTTGGCTGGGGCTGGGCTTGACCTCGCCACCCCTGGTATGTGGGGCTGGCGCCTTCCCGAATGAGCCACAGGCACCACTGGTTGGTTTGTTATCATTGCTGTATGATTTTCCACTTTGTGTCTAGACCATAATCCTTCCTACAGCTGATGGTCATTCGAGTTGTTTCCAGTTTGGGAACATTATGAAAAATGCTTCTGGGAACACTTCTGCTCTTTCATCGTTAATCTGGGTATGCAAAATACAGATTGGCATCCCAGGGTGAGGTTACATCCAGACTCTGGGCACTGCCGAAGTCTTCCTGGGTGGTGGCTGCATTAAGTACCTCAAGGTGATGTCAGGCTGTGGGGACAGGAAGGGAGGAGGCATGTGTCTCTAAGGACCTTCTGCTTGTTCAGCTTGGTTTCTGCAGTAGATGGATGAGCTGCAGAGAGAGGATGATGAGTTTTGGCTCCCACCTCTGAACTGGGGTATTTTCCCTGGAAGAGGGGCATTTGGGGGAACCACAATTTGATTATATCCACAATGGAGAAGGTCATTGACAAGGAGGGTGGGACAAAGAGTATTATCCAATGATCAACGGCTTGCCACTGTCTATACAGCGACGTCTGAGTGTTGCTGCCACACCCCACACCTCTGCAGACCACTAGGATCTGGGCTCCAGCTGCATGGCCTGGGGCCAGATTTGGACATTTCTTCCCAAGGCTGATGCCTTTCGATGTTGTAGACCTTGACTTGAGGACACTGTCTGAAAATATTAGAGGGCATGAACGGGCCCCTCAACCAACACAGAGACAGTGTGTGATAGGAGGCCAGCTTGGGTTTGCCTCTCCCACCTCATGCACCTGCTGGGTGGCTGTGAGCAGGTTATTTAAACTGTCTGAGCCTCAGTTGCTTTCTCTATAGCATGGCGTTAACACTCAGCTGGCATGGTGGTTGTGTGGATCAAAGAGACACCTACCCAGGGTTCAGCATGTGGCAAGCACTGTAAGTGGTCCCTCTCACAAGCTGCCAGGACAGGAAGGAGCCTCAGAAGGGCCAACCCTGCCCAAGCCTCCGAGGCACAGAGGGGGAATTGCTGGTGATCAGCCAGTCGGTGACAGAGCAGGGATTAGAGCCGGAGTCCCGAGGCTTAGCCCTTTGCTCTCTTCATCATGCCCTGGGGCCTCAGTCAGCCGCTGGTAATCCCCTCTGCATCCAGTGCACCAGCACTGACGTTTGCCCTGAGCAGGGCAGGGACAGGGCAGGAAACTGGCATCATCCTGCCTGGTGTGAAGCGGGAGGCGGGGTGGTGGGGGATTAGAAATCTCTGAGAAAAATATCACATGCTGCCCGGGTAACACCTGCTACAGCAGCTTCACAGCTGGGAACCCTGGATTTTTCTGGTCCCTGTGCCTGCAGACGGACCCCCAGGGTGGCTGGTTCTGTGGAGGAAAGGTAAGTGAGATCCCTGCCTCTGGCTCTCAGCCTGCAGGGATAGGAGCTACTCTGCTTGGAGCTCTAGACATGGGGAGAAATGTGGAAACCGTGGGGCATCTGTGGAGATGGAAGGAGGGGTGGTCTCCTCTGAGAACTGTAAATCTGTGGGGTGTCATGAAGAGAGACAAGGGTGCCCACAGGGACACGTCTGATGAGCCGTGCCCACAGGGCGAGGGGTGTCTTGTGCACCATTTGTGTCTGCTCCTTCTCCCCCCACCCAACCTGCTGTAGCCCCTGACTCCCTCTAACTTCCTCCTCCCTGCTGAATCCTGGGCGGGGGGGGGGCAGTCTGAGGGCATCTAGGTAAGTGTGGAGGTTCCCTAAGGGCCCACTTTGGTTAAGGAGCTTTTTTGCAGGATTGAGGGTTGAAGGTTCCTAAAAAGCTCCCAGCTATACTATCTTACACCCAAAGGACATGAAGTCTCCCACTGAGCAGATAAAATGAACCACATGGGATGGCAGTGGGGGGCCCAGGGGCCTGCCCACTGCACAATTGCTTTAGAAGTGGTCCATGGAGGCTTGTATCCTCCTTCTCCTTCTTCTGTGGGCAGCAGTGTTGGGGTGCCCTGCCCAAGACCCCACTGTCTCTGGGCTCAGCTGCACCCAAGACAGTGCGGACAGTCTGGAGATTTTCAGGGCTGCTCTATGCATCTTTCCAGCTTCAAAGGAAAAATGAGGAGAGAGGCCACCATTCGCAGTCCCCAGCACTTGGGGAATGTGCTTATCGCTTTAGGGGCTGGCCCCACCCTGGTTCCTGCTGTAGGAGGCAGACGCAGGACCTGGGTGGCCTCCAGGGAGAAGAGGACCACACTCCGCCCCTCGCTTCTCCCCAGCAGGTGCCTCCTCTTCACTCCTGCAGTCAGGTCACCCCAGCGGCCAGGATGTCCACCCAGAGCATCCACCCTCTGAAACCCGAGGCCTTGCATCTGCCAGCTGGGATCCCAGAGTCACCAAGCTGCCAGAGGCGCCACACGCTCCCCGCCAGTGAGTTCCGCTGCCTCACCCCAGAGGATGCCGTCAGTGTGTTTGAGATCGAGCGCGAAGGTGAGCAGCTTGCACAGGAGCCAGAGAATGCTCTACCCCGGTCCAGCTACCCTGTGGGGGAGGAGACTGCCTGTCCTTGAGGGTGGGTCCCAGAATGTGTGTGTGTGTTCAAGGGGCGGGGATGGGGGGACAGCTAAGTGGACACTCAGGTGCAGGGACCAGAGTCACCCCTCTCCCATGTGCCTTCCCCTCAGCCTTCATCTCTGTCTCGGGCCTCTGCCCCCTGTACCTGGATGAGATCCGGCACTTTCTGACCCTGTGTCCAGAGCTGTCCCTGGGCTGGTTTGAGGAGGGCCGGCTTGTGGCCTTCATCATTGGTTCACTTTGGGACAAGGAGAGACTCACTCAGGTGAGGATGGGTGTGGCTGTGGCACCCAGCTCTAGGAAGGTTCTGAAGAGAGGGGTCAGCTAGACAGTGGGGAAGGGAGTAGGGGCAGGGGTGATTTCTTCCTCCAAACCAGACAGGAGAGTCCAGGCCACAGGTCCCCTGCCAGGGCAAGATGCCCACCCCTCCCATATCTTCAGGAAGTTTTCTCCACAGGGCTGGGGGTATAGCTCCCAATTTGGGCCCTCCTTGGGTAAGAAGAAGGCCCTGACTGGAGGTGCTCAGGGGATAGATACCTGCTGTTAACCTGGGACAGGTGGTTTGGGGGAGCACATGTCAGTAGAGGTGACCTGGACTCTTGTCCCCAGGAGTCGCTGACACTGCACAGGCCCGGGGGCTGCACAGCCCACCTGCATGTGCTGGCTGTGCACCGCACCTTCCGGCAGCAGGGTAGGGGCTCTGTGCTGCTGTGGCGCTACCTGCACCACCTGGGCAGCCAGCTGGCCGTGCGCCGGGCTGCACTCATGTGCGAGGATGCACTGGTGCCCTTTTATGAGAAGCTTGGCTTCCATGCTGTGGGTCCATGTGCTGTCACTGTGGGCCCCCTCACTTTCACGGAGCTCCAGTGCTCCCTGCGGGGCCAGGCCTTCCTGCGCAGGAACAGTGGTTGCTGAGCCAGGCGGCCCACCTGGCCTTGGGAAATGCGGGCAACAGCCCTACCCTGGGCCCACGCTGGCATGGCTGAGCATGAGGGAGACTGGCCATGGGTGAGCGGGCAGGGGAGGGATAAATAAAGCCCAGCCCCAGCAACTCAGAGAGAAGCAGTGTGTCCTGTCTGTCCTTGCGAGGCCTCTACTCCTGTATTCCAAGTTCTGTGACCGAGACCCAGCTGGGCTGGTACGCAGGACACCGGGAGGCCTGCTTGGGTCCCTGCATCATTTCCTCACCAGGCAAGTATGCAGGAAGCTCAGAGGCAAGGTTGCACGCACACAGGAGACTGAGGACCCTGATTGGGGGACAGCAGGGAGCAGGACAGGGGAGAGGCAGACCTAAACATGGTGGCAGCCTCAGGCCAGGGAAGTAAGGGCAGGGGCCACGGTCTTGCCCATCTCTGGATATCTGTAGTGACTCACCTATGTCCCCAGGCCCACCCTTTCCTCCTACTGCCCCACACTGGCTCCTCTGCCCACAGCAATAAAGTGGGTAAACCTGCTGCCTCCCTGGTTGCTCCCTACTGTGCTGTGGAGGGTTGTGAGTGAGGCTCAGGAGCGGGGAGGACTTGGCTCTGGCCAGCGTGATGGACAGGTGCCGAGCCTGCTCCCCGGCACTGTCTCTGCCAGGGCCCAGTCAGTCTCTTTCCTGCCTGAGAGCCAAGGTGAGAATGGGGACCCCTTAAGGTCTTCTCCATGACTCCAAGCTGGTTTCTGTCCCCAACTAAAATCCCTCAGAAGCCCCACGAGTTTTCCACTGTTCCCAAACTACTGCCTTTGAGCATCCCATGGGTGACTCCTCACCTTCTAGCTTCATTCTACCTGAGGTCTCCAGTTAAGACAATACTTCCATAAAGAATATCATTTAATATGCCTGAGACGCCATCCATACAAAGTTAGCATTACTTTTTAAAAATTAGGACCATAATATAGACTGGTAAAAAAATGGGCCTGACTGAGCCTTGAGCACCTTGGGGCACAAGTCCTCAAGGTGGCTCAGCCCCACCCCACTGCGCAGAGTGAGTCAGAGGAGGCCCTCACCAAAGCCAGCCTGTGAGGCAGAGCGCTGGTGCCGAAGGGAGTGCTGGGGGCAGGCTGGGGGCGACAGCCTCTGGTTGCGAAAAATAAGCAAAGGCTCTTTGGCATCCATCTAGCTATGCCTCCTTATGTGTTCTCTGCCCCCAGACTGTGGCCAAAGCCTCTCCCACAGATGATCTGGAGGTCCTATGGGTGGCCTCCCAGGGCAGAGGGACAAAGAGAAAAAGGAAGGGGTCGCGGTGGGCATCCAGCCCTGGGCACAGCTGATGAGCAGCTTTGCTCCTGGCAGGGCACACTCCAGTAATAGTAAGGCACCAGCAGGGGCCGCAGTGAGGACCCCTGGAAGAAAAGAAACCTGCCCCTAGGACGCGAGCCCAGTAGGAGAATGGGGAGGAAGTCAGGTCTTAGAACGAGGCTCAGAGAAGCAGGTGCTCTGGGTGTCTTCAAGCTTGGGCCAAGGAACCCGCCTTGATCTTCATCTCACATGGAGTCAACCTTGCCTAGCAGAGGGGACACCTGGGCCCAGAGCCTGGGCACCCACCTATAGTCCTCTGGTGTGTGGGGTGGGGTGCTCTGCAGGCAGGCATCCATTGCAGGCACAGACCCCATGTTGTCAGTGCTCTTGGGGAGGCAGTGGGCTTGGCTCTAGTCAGTGGTCAGTGCAGCACCTGGTCCAGCTCATACTTCTCACAGAAGCGGCTGGTGAAGGGGAAGCAGGTGAGGAACTCGACCCAGGGCCAGTTAATCGGGTAGATGTAGAGCCAGAGCACCAGGGAGGCGAAGAGGCCAGCAAAGGCCAGCAGAGACACCAGGATGAGGACTCGCTTGCGGTACTTGTCACTGGTACCAAAGGTGATGTAGGGCAGGAAGGCGAAGGCCAGCAGCAGCCCACTGAGGAAGCCAAAGATATGGGCGATGTTGTCGATCCAGGGCAGGAGGCCGCAGATGAACAGGAAGAGCACGATGGCCGAAAGGTTGAAGAAGGCTTTCCAGGGCCGCTCCAGCAGCTGCCAGCTCTGGAAGAGCTCCACGAAGAGGCAGGCGAGGAGGCCAAATTGCGAGCCGGCTGGGCCCACCTGGGGCAGGAGGGGAACAAGGCACCTCTGGGTATCCGGCAGGGGAGCTGGGCCCAGGTCACCCATCTATGAGCTCTCCTGGTTGGGGTGGGGGCCCTGAAGCTGAGGGGTCAGGGGTCAGCTGGAACTGCTGGACCAAAGCTCAGCAAACTCAGAGTGCCAACTGTGCCCATCCTTCTAGCAAATGCTGGTGTGGGTTCAATGTAATAAGCATCCAGACCACGCCTGCCTTGCAGTACACAGTTCAGTGGGACACTGAACAAGCTGACAAAGAGTCAGGTTGAATCAAGGGACTGCCACTTCCACAGGTCAAGAAGGGCTGCACATGGGCCATTTCCAGCCACTGGAAGGGGGGCAGAGTTATGAAGAGATAAGGCAGAGAAAACAGTGATCTGGGAAGGTCCATGTGTCTGGAAGTGACCCTGGGTATGGAGGGGTCAGGGACCTTTGGTGACTCAATAGTGTCACTATTCCCTATCTCCAGGATTAAGGGATTGGCCAATAAATCCAGCTTAGCTGACCACCTGCTGTTAACCTGGTACAGGAGGGGCCCTGTGTCTCTCCGGCAGACCCAACTGGGTAGGGCAGGAGCCAGAGGGCTGGCTGACCCCATACACAAGGTTTCAGGCCAGGAAGGGTCCCATCCCATCCTGCCCACTTCATCCTTGAGTCCCTACCTCTGCCCGGTATGGGAGGAAGATGGCACTGGCAAGGTTGCCGGTGATACCACTGAGGATAAAGATGATGGAGATACGGTGCCAGCCAGCCAGCTTCTCCAGGTCACGCAGGATAGTCATTTGAAAGACCACAGACACAAAGCAGTGCACCACTCTGGGGGCAAGGGACACACCAGGAGTTGGCCTTCCTGCAGCCACCTGCTGAACACTTCAGGAGCAGTGGGGCCTGGCTGGAGGCCCTGGCCCAGGGGCCCTTCCTCTGGAGGGTCCAGGTGGGTGGCTGTCACAGGGGACTGGGGTGAGGGGCAGCAGGAATCCTCTTACCCAGCATGTAGGAACAGAGATAGCCAAAGTCTGTAGAACTGGTCTGGGACCTCAGGATTGAGGAAGGGCAGCAGCCCACACACTTCGTCCAAGCAGTGCACCTGGGGTGGAGGTGGGGGACACATGACAGGCAGTGCCCAGGGAATCTGAGCTGGGAGCCCCAATGTGGGAGGGAATGTGTGAACCCCCACCCCAGTGGACTGCCATGCTCAGCTTCTTCTGCTTGGGCCCAAAGCCCCCTTTCCCACCCAAAGTGCCCACCAGGCCTCACCTGGGAGCAGAGTGTTGCTTCCTCATGAAAATAGCCGTGCATGAACTCACAGTATTCCCGGGTAGTGATCTCACAGCTAGGGGATGGTGAGGCCGGGGGTGGGGGTCAGGGCCCTGAGGAACCCCTTCCACCTCACCCAGAGACCCTGGCCACAACAGGCATTGCTGGCAGGAAGGGGGTGCTCTTCTGCAAAGACCTCAGCTCTGGATAGTTATCAGAGGGCATCTGCTGAGGCGGGGTGTGGGGGCAGGGGCCCGCAGGTGCCCAGGCTGGCTCACCTGCCCTTGGTCCCGATGCAGCAGGGGCGGCCCTTGATCTTGCAGTCCATGTGCAAGAAGCCCGTGTGGTTGCTTCTGGCCTGCTCCGTGCAGATCTGCAAGGAGGGGCACCGTCGGGGGAGGGTCCGTGTGGGAGGTGGCCCGGGTCCCTGACCTTCCCAGACCATTCTCTGCCAGGGGGCATGCAATCACCGGCCACTTGGTGATGTCATCCGGCCAGATGTGTGCACCACTGGAGGCTGGCTCCTCACAGGTCCTGGAGGCCGAGGTCAGATTAGGCTGTGGCTTAGGTAGCCTGGCTGTGGGACACCCTGAAACCCAGGGGCAGCTCCAGGCTGTACCTGGGGTCCTGGTGGCACACGGCCCCCGATGTGCGCTTCTGGCCCAGATCGGACTTGTCCATGGGGGGCCCGGTATCATCCTGCCACTTAACAAAAGTGGCCAAAGTCTCCTGGAGGTTGGAGGAGAGCTAGTCACATGGGGCATGGTCATTCCTATTAGAGCGGGCAGGAGTCCCTCTGAGATGGGGCTTTTCCCATTGCCTCAGATCTTAGGCCCATCTCCGGACCCCCAACCCATCTGATAATCCTGAAATCAGTTTTCACTTCTCCAGACCAGAGGTGGTCAGCCGCCATTCTGCATAGTGGGGAGTAGGGGCTCAATGCAGATGGGGTAGGGAGGTGTACTGTGGCCACTGCCCTGGATAGTCCCCTCCCCTGGGCCAGGAACAAGACTGGAAGGGGCTGGAGGCTGTCCCCACCGAGCAGTCCTGCCGCTGGGTCTGGATGCAGCCCGAGTAGTCGTTCTGGACACAGCAGCCTGAGTCCTTTTCCAAGTCTTGCTCCCGCAGCACCAGCTGCTCAATCTGCTGGTCCTTCCGGATGCAGGGTGAGAACTTGGCTCCCAGGTGGATCAGGTCAATCTGGGGCCGGGCAAGGCAGGGAGGAGAGTGAGCTTGGCCCCAGACCTGGGAGGGGCCTGGCACTCTATCTCTGCTCTGCTGAGGGGGCTACCAGGTAGGCAAGCAGCCCACCTGCCCAGCTGGGGTGGCAGGGCACAGGGTTCCTGGCTCAGATGTCCCCCAGCCCTGGCCCTTACCGAGCTGGGGCCGATCCAGAAGTTCTCCTGCTGGATGTACTTCACGCTCTCATATACGCCTTTGTTCCTCAGCACCTGTCATGGAAGCAGTGCAAGGGAGGGCATCAGAGCAGTGGGGTCCCTGGGCATGGCGTCTGGGGGTGAGGGATGTGATGGCTGTCCCCTGTGTGGAACCCCCAGGAAGGGGCCCAGCTACAGTGAGACCCAAGCACCCTCCCACT